CATTTCTTGTGAGATTTCATGCCAAAAATGTGATTCTAGGGACTTTCTAATTTTGAGATGAATTTCCATACGAATTTTTTCACCATTTTTCTCATGTCTTGCATTTTTCCCCACTTTTCCATAACTTCTATATGGAAGTTTCAAGTGGTTACTTGGGAGTTATAAATTTGAATTCTAAATTCAAACCATTCCCTTCAACCCTTATAAGATCCTGCGGGTCGGGTCACCCCACATGGGTGACCCATTATCCTTATTTTCTAACATAAATAGTCTAAAAAACCACCTCATTTCTTTTCTATATTGAAATATCTAATATTGCAAAAACAAAAAAAAAGTAAAAAATCCTAAAACTGTTTGCATAGCATCAAGGTATCAAAACATAATTTGTTGCATATATTTACTATTCCAGAAACAACAAATTTTAGCCTTTGTTTGATACCCATTTTTCTCTTTTCTTTTCATCAATCCATTCTTCAATAAAATAATATTATATGAAAAATTAAAATATCTTCTTATTTCTTAACCACACATTCTTCATCAATTAACAATTTCAAAATGCATTCATATTAAAAAATGGGAAACAAACAAGGGCCTAAAACTGTTTTGTAGTTCAATATCAAAAGAATGAAAATATATTAGTATTCCTTCAAAGTAACACTTGTCTACTGGATTTATCCTTTAGGCTAATTATCGCTACATGCATAGAGTTCTTATTTCCAGCTTTTGGCGTTAGAATAACTGGAAATGAATTATCTTGCCGCCATGGAAGAAAGGAAAAGCCGCCGAAAAAGCTATGAGCAATGAGATGTTGAGGGTGGTAAAAAAAAAAAAAATTATGTTTTATAATTGTGGTGTAACAATAATTTATAAATTAAAAAGTATATTAAAATCCTAATTATGTAATTTTACTTAAGGATATTTAAATAAATAAGAAAACTATGGTGATCTTAATAAAAATTTTAATGGTAATACACCCATGTTGTTTATTGCCTTTTGGGATTATTTATTACTTTCTTTTGTCTTTCTAAATTTATTTAAGAGGGTGTTTGAGTCCTATTTTTATGAAAAAATATATTTTAAAAAAGTAAGTTTATGAGAATTGTGTGGTTGAAAAACAAGGAATTTTTTTATTTACGTGTAATATTGTTTTAATGAAAAATGTGTGATTGAAAAGAAGAGAGAGAAAAATGTATTTTGAGAAAATGGAAATAAAAAAGAGCCTAAGTTAGAGTGTTTTTGTAACATTAATAGAAAATTTGGAAGGAAGTCATCAATAAGGACCATATGGTGCGAATAAAAATCAAAATCGAGGTTAACCGAACTGAATAGGATGAAAAAAATTGAACCAATGGCACAATGAGGTGAATATGGTATTTGATGTTAATGCCCTGGTTCGCTCTGGCCTGAACCGATTACCTGTTAAAAAAAATTAATTAGGCAATTGGACTTTTTATTAATCTTTCTATGATTATGTCCAACCCAAAATTTTGGCCCATTACCAATCTGCTAAGTCCAACTAACCTAGCCTAACAACCCTATACCATACTATACAAAATATTAAACATATATGAAAATTTTTGTTAAATTCAAATGTTGTATTTGAGAATTGGGATATTGTTAGTTAAATTGGCTTAATATTGTGTTTTTGTTTTCATTGATTTTCTTTTTCATAAATTGTTTTTTTTTTTTCAATTTGACGAATGGACATATAAAAAAAAAAAAAATTTATTTTCGTTGTTATTAACTGCCAAAATTGAGCCGAATTGAAATACGAATCAAGTCGAACTGAACTAATTTACGCGGTTATGGTATGACAAAAAATTGGTGGTTTGGTGATGATTTTGGCCGAATCGACCCCAACCCTAGATATTTACCAGTTAAAATTTAACGAAAATGATTTTCCGACAAATTGAAAAGCTTGACAAATCGTAGTGTAATTTAAGTGTCTGTTCGGTAGTGATTATTAGAATCGATTTTTTAACTGTTAGAGAGAAAGTGAGTTCCACACGTGAGTAAAGAAGTAAAAAATGATAACTGGAATTGTGAAATAATGATAAAAAAATTTGATTTTTTAAGGTGAAAAATTGCTATCAAACGGAGGCTAAATACTAAAATGACAAATCCATTTTGAATTAATGTTACTAATTTATCAAATGTATGCTTTTAAGAAGTCAAAAGTAGCTTGTAAATTTGTTTAACTAATTTTATGAAAGTTTTTCTTCTAATTAAAATAGTTTTTTAAAAAAATGATTCAATATGACTTTATTTAAAAACATTTTTGGAGCGTGAAACTCTTTTATAAGTTAGTTTATAACAAAAATTAAAGTAACTTATTCAATAAGTTCTTCTATAAACCAAAAATAAAAATTATGCAAACGAGCCTAAGATACACTTGTCTAGAAGAAAAAGTTGGAAATGAAAGTATAAATGATCTCAATAGTTGGGACTAAAAATTTAAAAATGAGCATTTTTAACTTTGGGCATTACAAAAGACTATTTTGAAAATTTCTCAAATATCTAGGGCTGAAAAAAATGAAAAATCTGAAGCTTTAAATAGAGGAAATTAAAAAAAATAAAGAAGAAACATTTCTTTATTTCATTAAATGGAAAAACTTTTTTAAATTATAAGAGATCGATTAAAAAGTGTTTTTTTTTTCAATATTTTTGGTCCTAATTAAATTCCATCTTGCCGTTTAAAAAAAAAAAAATGGAAGAAGGAGAAAAATGCTCATATTAAGAGTAGGCTCAAAAATCACAAAAAGGGTTATTGAATAAAGAAAAGTTTTAATAATCTGTTCAATATTATTCCTCCTCCATAATACCAAGAGAATCAATTGAGGAGCAAATCAGCAATATATCAATGGAACCTCATGGGGAAGAATTTGCAGTTGGCTGCATACTATCCATTAAAACCACTCTTGAAGAAGAATTCCAAGCGCAAGTCATCGCCTTTGACCGCCCCTCAAACCTCCTCATCCTTCATATCCTTCAAAAATTCAGTCTTTATGAATTTACATGTATGACGATTTGAATTTTGTTATCTTTGATTATTTATTTATTATTATTATTTTTGGATAGTTCTTTAACTTTGGATAGGAAAATACAAGAGGGAGTGAAATCTGGGCCAGTTTCAAAGAGGAATATAAGATTACTCAAGGCTAATTATGTGAAGGAATTCAATTTTTTGGGTCGAGGTGAGGATCCTCTTGATCCCGATAAGTGTTTTCTTGATCTCAATACCCTTCAAGCCCGTGAGGACTCAGCTATTAGGTAAAGGTCCAACTTTTTTTGCATACCTATTTGTGCATTTTCACAAGTTTTTTGCATTGATTTTGTGGGTAAATTTGTAATGTCCATACGTGTTCTACAGTGATTTTTTTTTTGGGTTGTGGGTGGGGTGGGGTGTTCATTGTTTATGGGTTTTGGGTGTTTAATTGTGCGGTTATTTTTGTGGGTTGTGTGTGAATTGCATTGCAGACAAGCGGAGGCAGAGGCAGATAGGATTGGAGTGGGTGTTACTGCTGAGGGTCAGAATATTTTTGATGCTCTGTCTAAAACGTAACGTGCATCTTCCCTCTTTTATGGTGTTTGTTTTTTCAATGAGCCAATGATAATAATAGTAGTTCTTCCCTAATCTTTTTGGCAATGATATATCCACCAAAAAATGCGAGCTGACCTGTGTGAAGCTTTAGTTTTGTTGCCTGCCAGAGCTCCCAGCTGACCATCAGCTACCCCTTTTGAGCAGATTGCCCTTATTTAGTTTAAACTGAATCTAGATAGATGAGTGGATGGAACTTTATGCTTTTGATCGAGTAAGGAGGCTGTTAGAGAAATGAGCATAGGACCAAATATTTCCTGATGAAGAGAAGCAAAGTGGTATATTGTCATTGCAAACAAATCGGATTTGTGTTTAATGCTATGGTCATTGTCCATTTTGACGTTGCTAATGCACAAAGGAGATATATTTCGACCAATGAAAAGAATTCTTATGCTGAATGTCACAAATGCTGGAAAGCAAATAATAAATAACACTGCTGGAAGAAGAATTTGATTCTTGTATAATCAAAATGTTTATAAAGGGCCAGTATAAATAGTGGATTCTCAGGTACAACAGAAACATAAAAATAGGAACTAAACTAGCAAAACTAGGAACTGGATTAGCTAAGAATCAGGTGTATTCAAACTTTATTTTTTCCCCCTAAATCTAGGATAGATTTAACCAATCCGAGATTACTCCTAAACTCATGGATGCTGGTAATTTGTTAGAAACTAACTTCCTACACTTCCCCT